GCCCATTTCTCTCCTCTCTCTCTCTTTATCCCGGCGGCCACCACACCACCACTGTTGCCTGTCGGAGTGAAGCCGCACGCCTGACACCACCACCACCACCGCCATCACAGGTTGCTTGGGGGCGGCGAAGCGGCGCTACTATACTGTGACCACTCATTCTATCTCCCCCTTTTACTATATGATGTCTTAGGCTCAAGTATCAGGATGACTAAGAAATCTTAGTTCAAGACTCACGGCGAGTTAATTATTTTTGTAGTAATTATATCTTTGATGTAAAAGGTTTATCGACTGATTTAACTATTTGATAAGATCCAACTGTGACTATTTCTGAAACTGGGAAAGCAATTCTCCCGAGAATGAGACTTAAGGCAGACGTCAATTTGTAGATGATCTTGGAAATGCATAGTAGTATACCTGAGATGGTTTGTGCTAGTTTTTATTTCTCTGACGAAACATTCATGAGCACACCTTGAATCGTCATCTTCAATATTTGGTTCCTCATAAGACACAACAAATTGCATCCCTCCTCGAAAAAGTTATTTCCTTACATGATTTTCTTGAATAAAATTCACAAAATAGCATAAAAAATAAAATGTTAAGAGAGTCAAATCAATGATGCAGCCTTTAAAGTATAAGATACACTACAAAAAAATAAAAATAAAAATAAAAAATTGAGCTTCACCGACCAATCAAAAGTGGTTGCTATATGATACGAACACCGACCAAACATTTGTTGGTAGAGGTTTTGGCCTGGTAAATTTTGTTAAGCTTTTCGGTGACCATTTTGTAGTCGGATGATTCAGCAACCAAATGGTCACTAAAACATTTGGTGGGATGTGTCTCGCGAAATTTTCAACGACCAATTTCTAGTCGGATGATTCAGCAACCAAATGGTCACTAAAACATTTGGTGGGATGCGTCTCGCGAAATTTTCAGCGACCAATTAATGTGGTCGTTGAATATGATCTGCCTTCAGTGACCATTTGTGGTCGCTGGTGTGACTCTTCAATGACCATTTTAATATGGTCGTTGGTACACTTGGCAGTATAAGGCACGTACATTATTTCAGTTGTTTTAGCGACCAACAAAAATAGTCGTTGATTATGATTTGCTATCAACAATCACGTAATGGTCGCTGGAACTCTTGGCGGAATTAGTCCCACTCATTTTTTCGGTTGTTTTAGCTACCAAATAATGTGGTCGCTGAATATGATTTGCCTTCAGTGACCATTCCTGGTCGTTGGTGGGACATTTCAGCGACCAATTTCGTATGGTCGCCGGACCATTTGACACTAGTTATAATGATTTTTTGTAGATGTTTTTCACCATTTATAACGAACGACCACGTATTGGTCTCCGGTTCTACGAGTCCAACCAAACATTTGGATAAAAATCTGTTTGGCCAATTATAAATAATTTATAAACGATAACCAATAAGAGCGGATCGTTTTCAAAGCTCATACGAAAAATTTATACTTTATTTTTCATATTATGAGACAAATAAGCTAATCGGTTTGTGTTAGTTGCATGCGAACATACCAGAAAAACTCGAAATCAAATTGATCTATCCCAAGCTCCACTATTGGTCCTTTTGACTTCAATTAAACTCTGGACTTGGTCACAACTATGAGACTATTAAATAATCGAGGAAGCTTTCCAAGAAGACTTGATTAAGCATTAAACCAAAAAAAAAAGTACTTGAACGTATTTTTATACCTTATCTTAAAAGTTACCTACCATTAAGTTACATTTTTCCCAAAATATTTGCAAA